ATTTCAACCGAGAAGATGGATTCTATCTTAGCAATCATTGGAAAGATTTGATAAACCATTTCAGGTCTTAATTGATTGTTCACGCTTACAGTGGCTTTCAGACAGCATACATTTAAAAAAAATTCGTCTCCCCCCTCCTCTTTTCAGAATATAGATGGACGAGCCCTAAATAAACTGCCAAATCGCTGCACGTGGCGCTAACGTTTTTTATAAATAAATAAATGCACCGTTTAAAAATAAATTTATGCAAACCAACACACCTGAAGACGACCGTTTGTGTTATGGTCGAAACGTCGTGAGAATTGTTTTATTGTTATATATATTTTATTATTTTATTGTTTCCCTTCAACGTGACTTTACCGAAAGAACTAAGAATATAAGTAGAACGTGTTTATATGTATTTAAAGTTGCGCATTTTGATGTGACGTCACATTTCTCACCCCCCCCCCCCCCTCGTCACACATCGTCACAAATGTCTGACCCCCCCCCTAGGTGCGTGACGTCATTTATGGACGGCCCCTAAATGATGCAATAGCCACGTGTACACGCACGTGACTCCTGAAAATCCCCCCCCCCACCACGTTAGAATACAGCATACACATTACTGTACCTTACTTGGCAATCATCGCCCCCTGCCGTGACAACTTGGAAGGACCCCTTCTGAAAAGGAACCAGGAGACTCGGTGTTGAGGTTGCCTCGGTCAGAAACGAAATATGAACTTTGTGCGGTTATGATTGGTGTTTAAAAGCCGATTTTAAGACCAAGGCAGTCGGCCGAATTTGCTGCTGACCACGCACACCATGTGCTATGACTGCTGCAGTTGCCCCAACGATGCATCAGACTGAAATAAGGAGACCTCTCCCGAGTGTGGTTAGAGAGGACGCAGTGGTTGAGTTCGGTGCCAAAATAAAATTTAAAAAACCGGTGCTTGGATGTTGTGTAATCACCATACAATTAAATTCGTTACATGGCTGGTGTAATGAATTACAGTAAAATCTACTGCTGGATGACCTCGATGTAGCAATCCCTCTAACGAGTTGATTTCGTCGTTCCATGTCCACGGTTGCATCCTCTTGGGCATTCCCTTGTTTAGATGCCACTGTCATTAGCCTGGACCACCAGCTGTGCATAAACAAATATACCCACCACAGTATGCCGGATATCTGAAACATGTAGGTTTACATAAGCAAAAAAACGCAAACATTTTCAAACCGCTTACTGTATTAACGATTTCCCTCCAATCCAAATCACCGGTGCACGTGCATATTTGTGCAGCAGCGAAATCGGTGGTAAGTATTAAGGATGAGACCAGAACAAGTTCATAGGCCCAGATCACTCTACTGAAGAAAGAGTTAATTGCTCTTGGCCACGGGTCAGCACTGAATTGATGCAGCAACATGAGAGGCAAGGTGATGGGGAATAGATGAAGTACTTGGGTGATAGGGGAAGGTCTTATAAGGATCGCAGCAATTGGGTGGGCGTGATAGTAATAGATTACGCTGTAAACGCACGTTGGGCCGATGGCATGTGATTGGAACCATTCGATCAATGTTGGCCCAACGTTCCACGTGTCCTGGTTATGTTGCTCGTTGTTGGTGCAGTCGTGTCTTGAGATGCGGTTTGCATTTAGAGACTCTATGCATTACGATTGTTCTTGTTGAGGGTAGACTAGGGCAGCAATGAGGAGTGATGAAGTGGGCACGAGTGATATGGAGACGATGGAGTGATGAGAAAAAAAGTGACGGGGAAAAGGACTGATGCGGTGGGTGTGATTGTGACGGAGTCAGAGGAATAGGATGGGAAGTCAGAAAAGTGTACTGCCCGAGGAAAGCCCCTTGAACTGGACAGCTTTGTCAAGGGCAACTCGGCTGTCAGACAACAGTGGCAGCAACGCGTTGAAATTTAGCAATCGCACCGGCTTAAAAAAAGGTTGTCACAATATCTAAAATGCACATCCCAGTTGATGATATCATTGCCCAGGTCGACGTAGCCCTTAAGGGTTTGGGACACATCACTGCAGACGTGGCAAGATCGGAAATCGCTGCAATCCTCAAAAAGGCTAAGACACTCATTAGCAACATCAGCAAAGATGAGCCGCTTTGAGCTTTCTCAATTAAAATAAAATACTTAAAAACACTTTAGTTTTTTAAACACGCTTTAATGAAATGTACTGCCCCTCGGCGTGGCTCCCCGACGCTTGCCGTGACGTAAGGAGACCGTGGTGATTTACGGGCAACGTGAGTTGAGCGTGGACAATTACAGCCGTAAAAATATCGTTTTAATATATTAATTTTAATGATAGAATATAGTATTGTCATCAATATGACGTACCTATACCAAGTTTGCAGTCGATACGACATTGGGAAGACGGTTAAAAGTGAGTTACAAGATTTGAGGATACAACAGAGTGAGTTCAATAAAAGCGTGTAAAATATTTAACAATATATTTACAAATTTTAATAATAGAATATAGTGTTGTCATCAGTATGACATACCTATACCAAGTATGCAGTCGATATGACATTGGGAAGACGGTTGAAATTGAGTTACAAAATTTTAGGATACAACACACAGACAAGTTAAATAAAAGCGTGTAAAATGTTTACAAATATGTTTTGGATTTGTTTTTATCATAGATTATAGTGTTGTCATCAGTATGACATAGGTATTTCAAGTTTGCAGTCGATAGCACATTGGGAAGTGGGTAAAAAATTAGTTACAATATTTTTTTGGGAGGATACAACAGACGGAGTGAGTTAAATAAAAGCGTGTAAAAGAGAGATGACATCGTCATCCTCTCAGCCGACAAGGGCAATGCCACAGTCATCATCATGGACAAAACCACATACAATAACAAAATTCAGGACCTACTTAATGATGGTAGCTTTTGCAAAATTAAAAGAGATCCCACCAACTGCCTCGTTACGAAAACCAACAATATCATCACTGATTCGACATCTTTGATCGAACCAACCAAGCGGTTTTCCTTAAAACCCTCTGCTGCTAGACCACCCAGATTGTATAACTTACCAAAAACCCACCTACAAACTGGCCCAATTTCTGAGACCTTACAACCATGCACTGGTAAGACCTCAGCTGTACTCAACTCAGCTAACTTGGTATCGTTAATTAAGGACATATCTTCAGGTGATTTGCTCGTTAGTTTAGATGTGGTATCTTTGTTTACCAAAGTTCCTGTGCTTGACACCATTGCAATCATAGAAGATTTGGTCCAATAAGGACTGAATGCTGATGTACCGGCCCTGGTTAGACCCTGCCTCACCAACACTGACTTCACCTGGAATGGAACATTATACAAACAAGTTGAAGGTACCCTAATGGGTTCTCCCTTTTCTCCAGTTGTAGCAAATATTTTCATGGAAAAATTTGAGACAGTTTCCATCCAGGTATCCACTCAACGTCCGTCCATGTGGAAGAGGTACGTAGATAACACGTTCGTCATCTGGCCACATGGCTGACCAGCTCTGAATCAATTCCTCAACCACATCATTTCCATACACTCAGCCATCAAATTCACCATGGAGGTGGAAAAGGATGGCAAGTTACCATTATTGGATGTTTTAATTGAAAAGAAACCAGATGGCTCAATGGGACACTGTCTACAGGAAAGCCACCCATACGGATGCATACATAAAATCTGGCTCCCACCACCATCCATCCCAGAAGAATTATCTCATCAAAACTCTACACCATAGAGCTCGATGTATTTCCGAACGTCATCACCTAGCCAGTGAACTGGAACACGTACACCAAGCTCTCAAGATAAATGGATATTAAGACCACACAATTCGTAAAGCTAACACCCCAACCGTTGGGAAAGAACCATCTGAGGACCCAATAAAAACCATTACCCTGCCATACATAGCAGGGGTCACAAATTTTTTTTCCAAAATCATGAGCAAAAACAAGATCCAGGTTCGATTTAACACAGTACATAAAATTCGTGATCCGATCCCATCTGTGAAGGATGTGATCCCTGACATGCAATACCCCGGCGTTTACAAACTAAGCTGTCTGCGGCAGTAGTTACATTAGGGAAACTAAGCGACATGTCTCGGACTGTGTTCGTGAACATAAGGCAGATCTGAAACACGGTAGGACCAATACCTCAGCCGTGGCTGATCATTGTTTTAATGCGGTAGGCTCACGCGAAATGTATTTCTCTAAGACGAAGGTACTTTGCAAGCCCACTGGCTATCAACAAAGATTCGTTCATGAAGCCATCTATATATAGACAGACACAATTTCAACCGAGATGGGTACAAACTGAGCAATCATTGGAAGGACCTTATTAACCAGTTTAAGTCATAACTGGCTGTGATGTTTCTATACTACCTTCCGATGTTAGTAGTTATTTTCGACTCTCTGGGTTTACATTAGCAGGTTAAATGTCTCACACTAACACAGCCACCGTCGCTCGTGTCCTCGATGTGGCGGTGGCTCTGCGATCTTACATTGGACATGCTAATCTCTCACAATACAATGGCCACCTCTTCAGCTTCATCGTCGTGGAGGTAGATCTCCGATGTTACATTGACATGCAAATTTCTCACTTTAACATCACTAGCCCCGCCCACTTCGTTTATGACCCTTGGGCAACACCCATTTCAAGCCTTTTTTTTAAACAGCCTGCATCAGCAGCTTCCTCGCTATTTTTTCTCCAGATGACGATTGGTTGTGTTGCGATCGAAACGTCGTGTTTTTTTGTTATTTTCTTTGATCCCATCAACGTGACTTTACCGAAAGACCCAAGAATATCTAAAATGCAACTATGTACATTCTCACATGAATTGTTGCGAGTGTAGATTAAGTGTAGTGGAAAGTGATGGGTAGGGATCATGGTACTGTGTAAAAGTCACGTGTAAAAGCATTTGCTAAATAAATGGTACAAGGGAGATGGCAAGATGGCAGCGTGAGGGGGAAGAGTGCATTGAGGCCATGTAACAATAACCTGTACAAACCAGACAAGTCTCACAGGTGCAGGAAGATCAAATACTTTATTATTGCGTTTCAGCAAGTACAGGCAAAGAGAGGCCGCCCTGATTGTCCGGATTAGGCTTGCACCCAGAACACCCCTACTACATTTTCATGGACAAAAATAAATACTGTGTTTACAAGTGTCCCTGAATAGCACGCACGGGGCGAGCCGAGGCGCAGTGAGGAGGGTGGGCGGCCACACTCGCACATTACACTTCAAGTCGATTCAACCGGCACGGGCAGAACACGGTCTGCTTTGCGAATACTCCCTGGTGGTGCATTTAATAAGTCAAGGCCCGTTGATTTTTCTGTGTTATTGGAAAGACAATTAATGTACGATAAAATTTATTAAAAATCCAGAAGACATTTCAGTCACGCCAACAAGGTTTCCTAGTATACATGTTGGTTCGTAGGAGAATAAAATGAACAAACACACCGACTAACTAATAATGACTATGACGAAATGTATCGACGAAATGTATCGAGGAAATGGAGTAAACATGGATCGTTGGGTCAATGTTGTTCCAACAGTTCCAACCAAATTCCAACGTCGGCCCAACGTTGCATGTTTTCCGGGGTGGCTGTGCAGTCGACCCCAAGGTACAGAGTCTTCAGCACCAGCTGCGCCCACAGCCACTATCAAGCAGGCTCCAGTGAGTCCGGTTTCCGCGCCGGGTGCATAGATTCTGACGAGGACAAGACCTGGAAGCGACACTGCAAGGCAGAGCGACAGACTGCCACAAACCTCCCAACCAGCCACCGACCACGCAAAAAAAGGGTGGACAGCAGCAGTTTCCACAACTGCATGCATTCGCGTGTCCGGAAGAATGGCTGCATCCTCGTGACTTCCCATTTGGGTTCCGAGCAATAACCTGGCAAACATGAAACATTGGGCCACTGCAATGAAGGCAATGGTAAAAAACCTTCCTAAAGAGTTTCACCACCACCACCACTGACCGCGCGATGCAGGCTCAGAGAAAACATACACCGCTGTAACGTCAACGCTTGTGCTTTGCTGGTTCCACCATGTCAGCCGCCTGACTTTTGGGACAAAAACATCCTTTTGTTGTCCAAGATGTTTTGTTTTCCCATATTTATTTAAACACAAGTCCCCCTTGAAAACCAGAGTCCTGTTCTCAATGGGCTCTTACCGGATCAGGGATAAAAGTTGTCAGTTTAACATTTACATTGAAAATGTATTTGGAATAAACTTACAAGTTTACTAGTTTATCCAAAATATGGTATAGCTAGAAAATACCTGCACCAGCAAAACATTCGGGTAGTCTCGGCTGCATATCGTGCAAAGCGGATGCTGCTGGAGACGTTTTCTAGTTTTTTTATAACGACGTTAATTTTCCACTGCTAAAGAAGATGTCCATTAAGTAAAAGGAGATCCCCTCAAGGCCATGGTGTTATGTACTGTACAAGTCAACGGAGTTGTTTTTGCAGCTCACCTTACACTTGATGTTTGCATCATGCACATGTGTTTTACGTGTAATCCTCGTGTACAGAAGCAGCTTTATAAGCGAAGTAGAAAACGTCTTTTCTGCAGCAACTGCGGGAGAGCAGGGGTTTTGAAACTCGACCATTTACAACAACACCACCTCCCCTCTTTTGCTTCCCACCAAAATCACAGGTGCCACTGTAGGCGAAAACAAAGTGGTGCGGCTAAAAGACGAATTTTGCGCTTTCCGTAAAATACAAAGTGACTATACTGCATCGGCATGTCATATCCAGCCGGGCATGGCGCCAACACTGTTATTTTATCTCTGAAACTCAACTGTCAGCTGTATTGGTCCTGTGTGTTTTGTCATGTAAACAGCATATTTTAAGTCTAGAAGTCGAAGCGACAGCACCAAGACTAGCAAGTATACATCAGGGAAAAATATTAGTTCATGATTAAAATAGTTTCATCCATAATTATTGCAGCACGATACGAAGAATACAAATATAAAGTACCGTGTAAATTTTTTTTTATATATAAAAGACAAACATTTCTAGTTTTGAAGCTCGCCGTGGAATCTCATTAACCGTCTCCTGTGCCGTCTCACTACAATTTGCTAACAGTACAGTACAATCAAATAAAGTGATAAGCATGACGACACAAACAGAATAAACAATAAGTGACATTCTAACACATAGGCAGGTAAAGCTAGTTAGACATTGCTCCTGTTCAGAGCATGCCATGTTTTCTTGACATTTTAAAGTCAATTTAAAACTCGAGGTCGTGTACCCCCTTGCAGATTGAAGTCTCCGGCATTACTGCTCCTCTGACCTAGCCGATAACGAACAAACAGCTCCAATGACGTCTATTGAATTGAAATATAAAGAGACTGCATCATTGGCAGTTTCCCGTGCACCCATGAGCCGTGAGAGGGCGTGAGAAGACGGGGGAATTTTTAAAATCCAAGGACTCAATATAACAGTCCAGGATCCTGCTTATATCAATTTCGTCCTTTTTTCGTAATTTAATAATACATTGCAGATTGCGGATGTTGATTGATAAGGAAACTTATAACTGAAGAAGCAGGAGCGGGGCCTGTTGTCTCAGGGTCTGTTTCGCAGATGGGTGATCTGTGTTAGCGCTGCGTTGGTGGTGACACCAAAACAGATCACTTACATTGTTCACACCTAAGCGGGACTGATGAGCCAAACAGGAAACATCCCATCATGGGTTGCCAGTGGCTTTTAATCTAGTCCTCTTGCTAACTTAAAAACAGATCATGAAACCAACTCTTGCACATTTCACACGCCATCCGTTTGATACAATTTCACAATCAGTTTGAATCTGGCAGTGGCTAAACGACGACTAAGCGAATGGCACGTGATCCAAGCAATTAATCAGCAAGTGCCATCGCTAACCAACTTACTTACTCACGTGTGAACAAATGCGACATCACAACACGTGCGCCCCCTCGCCTGCTGCCAAGTCCAGAATACTTCCGTCCTCCTGTGCTTTGGTGAAACTGTTTTTCCTGCGCAGGTGGTGATGCACACCCATGCGTTTGTGGGTCTTGTGAGCTCTGGGTGGAGGCAAGTCCCCCAGCTCATTGCTCAGTAGATGGTCTTGTCCTCCAAGCACCTCCTCCACACTGCGCACCGTCTCTTCTGGCTTGTCGGAGGCACCGAGCCCGTGCGCGAGTCCTTGCATGCGACTGACCACGGCACTCTCGTCCCTGAGCCAGGCCGATTTCTCCCGTTCCGTAGATCGCTCGCCCACACACCGCTCCTCCGCCTTCCTCTCCACGCGGTCGGTGTCGGGGCCAGAATCCTGACTCGCGTGGCCCGAAAAAAGCGATTCGGACAGACTCGCCGTGTACGACTCCTCCCCGTCCGAGTGGTATGGCCCGCCGGTGCGATGCATGACCGCCCCCCGGCACTCGCCGTTGCCCCCGTCGTCCCCCGCACGCTTCTGACCCAAAACCTCGGACAGCAGCTGCACGGACTCGCTGTCAAAAGAAGTGCGGCTGGAGATCTCCTTGTCCGAGTCCGGTGCCACTTTGTCCACGAACATGCGGCGCCAGCTGCCGAGCATCTCCGTCTCCCAGTTGCAGAAGCTCTGCCGGTCGTGCGTGTCTGAGCAAGCGTTGTCGCACGGTTGCCCCTGCCCACCGAGCCACGCCATCGTCCCCGGATATGGCGTCGACGTCGAGGGCTCGTCATTCAGACCCTGGCGCTCCCCTCCACTTTGCGCCAAGTGCATCAGATCCTGCTCCGCACTGGTGCGCGGGCTATGATGAGGCAGCGGTGGAAGGCGCGAGCGTTGCTCATGCGCGCCGGGGCTGCCCATGCAAGGATGAACACCGTCACGGCTCTTGCCGTAGCCGTGATCGAACGCTGCGGGGATGACAATGTTGTGCCCGGTGCTGTTTTGGATGGGGCCTTGGGGTGAGCGACTTCCCTCCGCGTGCGAGCCCGGCGGCGTCGGTGGTGGCACCGCTTTTCCGACAGCCGCGGCGTCCCCCTTGATGGCCATGCTGAGGGAGATGGCCTGCCGCGTGGCGTACGTACAGTTGGGGAGTGGGCTATTCTTGGGGATCCTCACGTGATCGTCGCCGGAGAACTCCACCAACGCGCGGCGCCCACCGTACGTGCTGGAAGGCGGCAGCGATGGCGGCGTGGCGTGCGCGCCGGCGAGCGCCGGCGTCGGGTACGGGGAGAGCCGACGAGGGGACGACGCGCTTCTCTCGCAGCCGTTGTCCCGCGGGGCGCCAGCGCCGTCCACACTGCTCTGGCGGCTGCATGCACTGCCGCTGGCCGACGACGACGACGACGACCCCTTGCGCACCCACGTGTCGCTCGCGTCGTCGTAAACCATGTCCGCGACGGCAGCGGCCGTGTCGTTCTCCGCGTCGTCGCCCTCGTCCTGCTCGTAATCCTCCGCGCTCATGTCCACGTGGACGAAGGTGTCGCCCGCCAGGGGCCGCGGGGCGCTGCGCGAGCTCGCCGACTGCAGACCGAGCGGCTCGGGCTTCTCGAGGACGCGTACGATAACGCTTGTGGGGACCGAGTCATTGGGATGAGCGGACGGGGGACCGTGGAACGGCGGGGCCCTGGCAGCATCGCCAACCTCCCCGCCCATGTGCTTGCTCACCAGCTCCTGCAGCTCCTGGGGCAGCTGCGTGTGCGCGGGCATCGTCACCGTTAAGCACAGGCAATGGGCGTCATGGCCTACTGCAAACATTGCAGCCAATGAGGCCACATCATCATCATTTTCATTAATATTGTGCAATTCACAGCGAAGGTCAATATCACAGTTGGGGGAAACAAAGGCGGAAGGCGTGTTTTGTGCTTTGCCACCCAATGTACCTCTCTTGCACCATACCCAACTGTACCTACTACATTACCCCAGCTATTAAAAGGGCCTAACGGGACAATTACACAACATCTGCAGCTGAACGTGTGCCACGCACTAAAGCGGCAGTTACATTAGTTATTTGCTCGTGGTGGAATAAAAAAATCACCAAGGAGAAAAAAGGTGCACGCAGGATGGGCAGAGCAGCTCGAGTTTGGCGAATGCTTTAAGAGGCTTAAAGTCTGACCTTCCTGCAAAAGTAATTTGCTAAAATTGTACATTACTTAAAATATTAATAATATATACACAATACCTTGGGACACATAGAAAAGCTGAATGCTGTGGGGCATTTAGGTAAATTTAACACCTTTTAGGATAATTTAACTTATCATTTGTATCCAAACAAAGAAATACTATACGTGCGTTTGAATTTTTTAACACACGCTTGTAAAAAAATATAACGTTAATATTAACGCGCGTTTCCTTAAATTAGCATTGCTTTTATGTTTCACGAAATAAATGCGAGCGTTATTTCTGGCGTCAGCTGCGGTGGTGGCCTGCATCACCTCAGAGTACTTGTGGTTCCTGAAGTGGGACTTGTTGCACTGCAGGAGATGAACGGCCAGGTTACAGTCCTTCCTGAAGCGCTCCTGAAACGGGAATGCAATGCGACGTCGGATAAACGTGTTACGACCCCCGTGCTGGGCTGTGTTCAGGGCAACCACTTGTGGCTCTTTGCTACAGTTTAATGACACAGGAGCTTAATAGCTCTTTTTCAGAAATGATAGATCAACGAAGTGGCTTATCACGTGGAAGTTTATAGCAGCCAAATACTCTAAACCGCGTGTTTCAAAATGTAGAGGGAAAAAAACGGAGGACCCGGAGAAAAATCCACGCGACCACGGGGAGAACACGCAAACTCCAAACATACAGGCGTCAGGGCCGGGATCGAACACACGACCTCCTGTATACCAGGTGAGGTAATTAACATCTCACCACTGTGGCGCTCACATTCAGAGCTATGAAAGTCGCAATGTGGAGACAGTGTAGGAACAAATGTAATAGCTAGGTATGTAATGATTCACCGCCATGCATCATGATTCGATGAATACACAGCTGACGGTCGTGATTCAAATAAAGAATAATTTTTTGTCTTGGTTCTCCCCCAAACCCTGCCCCTACTTGTTTTGTATTGTTTCTCAATTCTCCGCTTCACAATTCAATGCCTGTTCCAATGAATGCAAGAATGGATCTGAATCGACAATTACAAAAAATAACAATGTACAATGAAAACGGCATAACAATTGGAAACCAAGGTCAATCCGGTTAGACATGTTAATTTTAATCAAACCTCCAAGATGTTGAGCACCGAGGCGGTACTCATCTTCAGTCTACAGTCCTGAATGAGTGGTGGAAATTCCACATTCCTATAAAGGGACAAGCCTTCCCATAGGACCACTGTTGACTTCTCCGTAAAGAATTACGTATTCATCCCGATGGGACGAAGGGCGAAGTCAACTCCCAAACAGGATTTAAACTCGCAACCTTCTGATTGCGATCCGCTTGCTCTACCGCTGACCGGATGACCTATAGCTAAAAGCATTTCTGTCCGGCGGAAACTCAAATTGCCCGGGGTTGTTTAGTGGCTGTGACCATTGTGCATTGCCCACGTTTTCCTCCTCCAACTTGTTGATCGTGGTCTTGGAGTCCATCAGCTTGCCCGTGAGCGCCACGATCTCCACGTTAAGGCTCGTTTTCTCTTTCTCAAACGCCTGAGCCTGAAAGCAGGAAATTTGCCGGCGAGACGTTGCACGCGGTTATAAGACTGGCGGCAGGCAGTGCCCATCCCAAGCAAAGACCGAAATCAAGTGGTGACAAGAGTTCAACGCAGCGTCGGGAATGCAATGGCAGCTGCTGACGAAGCGGGGACGATGCAGGAGCAAGGAAGCCAGGCACAGGCAGGAGCCCTCTGCTCTGACTCGCATAATTCTTAAGCATTCACTGGTGAGCCAGACAGCTCCTGGCACTGACCTCGTGAAAGCACAGCTGTGATGTCGCCCCCAAGCCCGCGGGTGGTTCTGTGCGAACGGCTGCAGGGATTAAGGCCACGGGGCGGCAAGTCCCCCTCACCATCGCACTGTCCATGTCAGAGGAGGATTTGCGATTGAGCCTCCGAAACAAAATGGAACGTGCACTCGTGGACAGCACGGGTCACATTGATTTTTATTTGTCTTATGTCATGCGGTCAGGTCACCAGTGGTCGCATCTTATTGTGGGTTGCCTTCCTCCCTCAAAGCCAATGCAAATGTGAATTTTTGTCCAGCGATAAATTGCGCGCACCTGCAGTACACGTCACGGGTTAATGGAGAATTTGCTGGTCACATAACCTAACTGTAAAACGTATTATTCAAGTGACAGATTCAGCCACAAATTTTCATTGAATGACGGAGGTTTGTTAATTAGACAGATTATATTAGTTGTTGCATTTTTTATCTCAAGCGAGGTCTTTCATCCGTCGGAAGCCAAGCACCATGGCGAGCACCTGCTTTCTGGCTGTACTCGTACTCCGTTCAACTTAACCCACATATGCTGGAGCGTGATCGCAGCTCAGCTCATGCATGGGAGGCGGGGTGAACGTGTGAAACATTCCCCGACGAGGTGCGCACGCCTCTTCCAACTTAAGCCCAACCCCTACTCGCTCAACCGGAAAAGCGTGCATTTTTGTCCAAGGGAAAAAAAGGAAAAATTCCAACCATTCCCCTGAACGTCTTTTGTTGCAACAGGATCCTGGTGGTCAGCTTGCTGCATATTGCAGTAGGGAAACAAGAGTCATAGCTGTGGATTGAGTGACATTGGGCAGTCAAGGGGTAACATTACCTTACGTCTCTGCATACGCGTTCCAGTCATGTGCCTCCCGTTACAGGCGTTACCTCCGTATATACTAGGAATAATACCCAGAGGATGTGGCCCATTTAAAAAGGAAACCAAAAGCGTCTCAGAGTGCAAGTGCAGCTTGCAGCTCGAGCGTCCAAATGTACACGCATGACACTCTGGGCGAGCGGATAGGCGGAGGTGGGGGAGGAGGAGGGGGGTTTGGCGGTGGAAAAGGGGGTGGGGTGCATAGCTTGAGTAAGGTGAAGTTGAACGTGAGAAAACACTCAGCTGCATTATACCACTTGTAGCAGAGAGAAGCCTGCCGAGAAGCAGAGGTGGGGAGAGAGGCAGAGACGGCACAGATTGTTCATCACCGTGGGGAACTGGATAAAAAAGAATGGCTCTGCCATGAAGTGTACAGTGGCAGCTTTAAATAATTGATGGGTCACACCGTCCTATTGGGACACTTTACATTGGATGGCGAGAGCCCAACTGCCAAGGCAGCGACTTGCCCTGACCTTGTTACGCACGCAACTTTATTTGCCGTTCCCTTATCAGTGCGTCAAGGTGGAAACATGACAACTGGGAGGCGCCGTCTGTTGCTGGGCTGGCAGCGTGCTAACAAGAATATTTTTTTATCATTATGAATTGTACAATATTTATAAATGCATTTGTGAATGCACCATCCATAAAATCAGGAAATCACCTCCCAGAAGAAATAGACATGATGACATGCACAGATGCATGTTAAATATTAATTGCAGCATTGTAACAATGAATATGATGTTTCTTTTATTTGTTACTAAACTTAACATTTTTTTTTATTTTACCAGGTAAGGCCCACTGCGCTATACTGTATAGCTTTTTTTTTAAGCGACTTGGCCATAAATGATAGCTTAACAAAGAGGCGTGTCATGTGGAAATGTACAGCAGCTAAATACTCTAAACTCATTTTAAATTTTGATTTAAAGCTTTCGTGACTGCAGTAATTCATATTCTTAGTTTTTTCGGTAAAGTCACGTTGAAGGGAAACAACAAAATAATAAACGTGACTTTACCGAAAAAACTAAGAATATACTCTAAACTCATGTTCTAAATGTGGAAGGAAAAATCAGAGGATCCGGAGAAAAATCCACTCGACCACGGGGAGAACATGCAAACTCCAAATATACAGGCATCAGGGTTGGGATTGAACCCACGACCTCCTGTATACCCGGCGAGGTAGTTAACATTTCACCACTGTGACACCCCTTATAACACATGATGCCCTTTTTAGCAAGAGCCTAATGCAGTGTGTGCATTTATACACGTTGACGAACACGGAGAGAGGAGTGGGTCACCAGTTTTTGCAGTTTTTCCTCCAGGTCTTGGTTAGTCTTCTGGGAGGACAAGTAACTGCTTTGCATTCTGAGAAAGACGGACAAAACACAACCCTCTTGAGGACGAGCGTGCGGTCTGTCCTCACGTGACGACGGAAGTGATTCACGCACTGCATTACGATGATGGAAACCTGAGCGCCAGCCTTGGGCACGGTACATGGCACAAGTGACAATCGGAATCTAAATCTGGTCTGGGCAATCCTCAGAGGCCTCAACCCAAAATAATCCCCGGTAAGATAGTCAGTATCATCATTGGGGAGACAAAAGCGTCCAGGTGTGTTTTGTGCCGACTACAGCGCCTCTTCTTGCACCGAGCCCAGCCTTTGCTAGGCGGTCACAAACAGCACGTGCCCATACATATGTGAGGCTTAACAAGACATTCGTTATCGGTAAAATTACCAAGTGCTTTATTTCTGTACAGCAGTTACATCAAAAGAGGCAAGCCTCAATATGCGGAAAAGAATGTTACGAACATTGCCTGCGTTCATGCACCTATACCAATGTGTTAAACATCAGCACCGGGGAAATCTAGGTGACTGGGCATGGTGCTGACCATACCTCCCCATTGTGTGCCGCCCTGGTCTGAATAGATGCTCGCTAATAGCACTTTGTAGTGTTGTGTGATGTTGTGCATGGATCGGTCCGTCTCGTACCCACACGAGTGCTTGTAATGCTCGTGCAACACACCTGCCGTACATATCCTGGAGGCGTCGGATCTCCTCCCATGCCTGACCCAGCTCGGCCTCCAGGCCTCGCTGTGTTGCCCGTCTGTCTGCCTCCCTCCTTGGCCCCGTCCGCTCCCCGCCAGGCCCATCCCTCGAAACTGCTGCGGTGTCGGGACTGACCCTGACAGGCGGGCCCTGATGGCCCAGCCCCGGCAAAGCGGCCCTCTCTGGGCCGTGCGACTCTCCGGGTCTCCCGAGTTCGGCGCTCTGTGCGAGGTGTGGCCCGTCGCCCGGTCTCTCCGCGTGAGGCACCGGAAGGCTCACGTGCTCCTCGTGCTGTGGCCTGTGGGGGCGTGAGAGCAGCCAAGGAAGGCGGTGGGTGATGCATGCTCTCCTAAGAATGTCTGTCCTGCCTACGTGACGAAGTGCATGCGCCGGCTGAACAAGCATGACTCGTGAAAACAGCGCGTGCACCGCTGAGCAAACATGTGGCACACTGCGTGTGGAAAACACTTGCTGTTAGTGGAAACTGGAGGTAAATGAGTACCTGGATTTATGAGAATCTGGAAGCACCTCCTGCACAGAAAGCAAAACAAAAACAATTAATTATTGCAATGTCAAACGCTGAACAAACCCACAGTCCTGGTAAAAACACCAGCAATAGCAATAAGTGATATGGGTAAAAAACTATTTAGTCCAATACCTTTTTGGACTGAGAGAGTTGAAAGTTCCTGGACGCGCCCAGAATTAACGGTGGGTCCACAGAGCTTGCACAAAAAACGTTTGTACCATCTTGAAGCCACCCCCCATCCCTTCCTGCAGCCTCGCAGGCTCCTGTCTGCTGCGCTCTCTTTGCATCACTGCCACGCTCCTTCCGCACCACCTCGTCGTAAATTACCTTTGGGCTTTCAACGCTACTCGCTCCCTCTCGGCGCACCGTATCAGTGGTCCCCACACCCTCCCAGCCCTGGCTGCGTCTCCCGTGCGTGTGCACCCCGTGCTCCGCGTGGCTGCCATCCCAGCGACGCCTGTCCCTGCTTCTGCTCCTGCTGCAGCCTATGTCCTCGCTGCACTGGGAACCCGTGTCCGTGTGCGTGTCATCGTGCGGTGAGTGACGGGCGGACTCACGCCTTGACGAACTGGCAATGGCCATGCCCTCCAGTTTATCCTTCGTAGGACCGTGCGGGGTGGCCGCACACTTTCTCCTGCCGTGCGAGCTTGTCGGTTGTGAACCGTGCGTCATTTCCTTGCCAGCGCCGTGCGCCCTGTGCCCGTCTCGCCTCTCTTGCCGATCGCTCACCTGCGCACTTTCGTGCTTCCCATCCCGCTCCCTCGCCCCTAACGCTCTCCTCGCCTCTACGACCACCTCCCTCGCAGCTCTGCGTATGCCATAGCTGTTCAGTGTCACCGGACTTAAAACTTGTGATGAGATTTCATCTACGACCGCCGAAAACTTTAGAGGCTGCAACGTCCTCGACTGTCGCATCTGCGAGCCGGCGCCGATGGACGACTTGTAGAGGACCGCGTCTGAACCAGCCATCTGCTTCTGCAGCTTGTGCAACTTGTGTTGCCGGCTGTAAAGATTTGCTGACTTGGTATTGGCTCCCGCACTCCAATCGGACGAGCTGTCGCTGCACGTCGTAGCGCTTGAAATGTCTCTGAAGTCAGCCGACTTGGCTCTCCGGTTTGCAAGGAGCTTCCGTGCTGAGGCAAGATGCGATTCTGCCATATCCTTGCTTGAAATATTCCCCCAGCTTCGGTCGCTCGCTCGGGCTCCCCTCCGTCCGGTCGCCCTGTCCTCCCCTGAAGAAGACTGCCTTTCCCAGGTCGTCGTACCCTCACCGCTGTCTAACTCAGACACCGCGCCCTCCCTCCCCAACAAATTACCAGTCAGCGGAACTGAACTCAGAATCTGCCCTGATACCTCTTTGATTACCTCTGACTTATATCGTGTCATGGCGGGCTCAGCGAGGTGCCTGGCTCCCGGCGGGCGCGACTCGCGATGCTCGGGAGGCGCCTTCCTGTACGGCTTGCGTGCCACGACACCGCCGCTATTCATAGCCATGGCCCGTCCGCTCCAGTGCTCCGGTGGCCCCCGGTGGGTGGCGTTATTCGGTGGTTCCTACCCACGGGGCACAAGCGCACTCGTAACATTAATCACATTGAGCAATTATCAGTCCGGAATAGTGCGTGGTCGATAATACGTTTCCCGTGACGTGCTCCCAGCCAGCCAGGCATACGCAAAATCCGCACAAATTCACTGGGCCTGCCAATAACCAGTTTCATCAAACGGTCATCGCGGTCAACAGATTTTGATTTATCCTCAAATGTGTATTCCCTTGTGAATAAAATAGAACATGCAAAGAAGATTACCTGCAGGGTATTTGCCGAACTTCTGATATAATGTGCTACTACAGAACATTAAAATAGTATCATTTTTATTTTTGTGAACAGTAAGTACAACTCCACAGCTTACCTTACTCTCCACTTGCGTTAAAGTCAGCGATTCCTAGAAACGCAAGATTTAAATATATGCAGTGATTTCCGTACCAAGGATAAGAAAGTAAATACCTCCGCAAATAAAAAAAAACTCGACTCAGTAAAAAAAACGTCACTCAGAGACGCCACAATGCCCGCCAACTTTACAAAAGAGCTTAAATCCCACAATCAAGAAGGCCATCCCTTCCAAGCATCTGGTTACGAGTCTGGGATTTCAACAACCAAGTTCTGTCTAAGTTTCGGGCTGCCAGTCTAGAGTTCTGACGATGACTGGCGCGCTCTGCCCTGCGCGATTGCGGTATGGTCACAAATGCCCACTAATTGTGCACACGTCAAATGACCTTTAGCACACAGACACGACTACAGATTCCACAAGTCAACGTCTCGTGAACTTTACACCCTATCTGGGCAAACCCGGGTGATTAAAATAAGGCAACCATGCAAGATGGCTCGGGTAGTTTCTTCCACTGCTCAATAGGTTTACAGTTTCGACCAAGTGATGAGGAACCTCAATGTCTTATAGTGTATTGGTCGAGGATGTTCTACAGGCACTGCATTTAAAGGCACTGGTTGTTTTGTAAAAAAAAGTATGTTGTATTAATGTGTTGACGTTCTAGTGAGTGTGTGATCGTGTGTGTTTTAGCCATCTGCTTGTCTCCCACCTTTTGTCTCATTTTCATCAGTTTCTTTTAAAAAATCTTACTGCTAGCCAATATATTTTCTAAGAGACAAAACTTAACAGTTATTAATCACCTTTTGGTGCTCCATTAATAACAGTACGCATCGTTATCAGTCGTCTTCTATACGTTCAATGCAACGAAACGCAGTGGAACATGACGTGCCCCCATTGCCCGTGGGGTTTTGGGGGGTTCAATTGAACTGGGAAAATCAGTGTCAGCAGTCCCCCCCCCCGATTCCCCAACAATCCAATACCCACTCTTCTCCACAGCCACGACGCGTGTGGCTTAGCCGCCAGCGGCACACAGAGGGCACAAGGCACCCCGGTGTAACCACGTATAATACCCAACCACCCCAGCTCTAGGTTAATGAATTCCAAATCAAGGTTTATTAACTAATATCCCCAGACATGCCCCGCGACAGCACAGCAGCACTCGCTCTAGCGCAGAACTTGGCGGCGTGCAGATTTTCCGATAATTACTTGCCATTTCATCCACGTGAACCATTACACAAGTGGCTACAACACTGTCGAGTCAAGCGCGTTTGTGTAACTGGGTTATACAATCTTATTGATACATAATTACAGATTGCCTTTGTGAGGCAGACCTGAGAGGGACAAAGAAGATATTAATTTATTGGGCCTGTGGGAATGATTGAGGTTGGTAGGGGCAACAGTCATTTGGGCCCACGTTGAGTATTTCAAATGGGGCTCATTAATGCCATTGATGGGACAAATTACAAGTCTTGGCCTGTCAAATATTTGGGAAGGCAAATGCTCCCCCCTGCCCACTTTCCATTGCCCTCTATTAATTGACAGCAGTTCAGAGCGCATTATGAAATTGCCCTCATTTCGTTTTGTTATATTTGTATATTAAATAGATCCTAAGGACTACTATATTATTGCACGTTCTCTTGTACATCAAGTTATGATGTTTTGCTCGAATTATCCTCTGTAAAAAGACTTTGTCACAATGGGTTCTCACATGGTTTAAATAAAGGATTGTATTGGTTGGAGCGATTCAGATTCGCTCACTGCTCAAGTCAAATTGCTGGTGTCTGAAAACAACTGCAGCACAGTTCTAACTTTGTTACAATCATGACAACAAAGTTAGTACTGTCATGCGTGGTGTTCTTGTTAAAGCAGCTATGCGGTGTTGAGAGGGCTGAGATCCCCCTGCACCCCTAACTACTTAAGGCTAAGGTCCCCTTGTAAATTGTAAAAAAAATAATAATGGACATCTGTCAAAAAGACCTTCATAACTTATCGCTTACCGGATTTATCCAGGTTAAAAGGTTTTGATTCTGATAGAGCAGTATACATGACAGATAAATCGGACTATATATTTACTCATTGTGTTTTTGTGGCATAATATATTTAAAGTTTGTTTAAGATCCTTGTGTTTCTGTATACACCCATGCCTTTAAAGGATATGCTTCGACAAGGTTGTTTTAAAGCATGGGATAACATTATTCTTCACAACGTAACTATGATTATTATGATGGCTGTTTGAAACATTGATGACTGCCCGATGAGTCTTGACATGAAATGGAAAGTGAATGGGTTTGCAGATCACTGACGAGACCAATCCTGGCTGCACATCAGCGCGTGCCACACTGGACGGACATGGACGGAGTGTGGCGTTGTTGCATCTCCACCCATATTGAGCACTCGGTCTCGTGCAACAACATCAACAGCAGCCATAATTCGCCACTCAGTGGTGGTGACGTCACTACGACCCTTGTGCCAGGCCAGGTGCACTTTGAGGCCAAGTGAAGTATCAAAAGCTCGCTGACAGGTCACGGGACAGACCCAGGTGCCATGGGTTGACCGAGACGACTTGCAGATGCACCCAGCTGTGCCCCTCATTGTGCCAACTCATGCACACTGATCGACCACCACACTGCTGCAGGTCGAGACAATTCTCGTTCTGCTTATTCTCTCGCACGTCTCCCCTTTGGAATTCCCTCCCATTGTCTCTTTTCCCAAGCCCTATTCAATTCCACGGTCAAGTCAATGAACGCATTCACTCATTTCGACTGTATTACAACTTCAATGGTGCTGTTGGTTGCTGGTCGCTTTTTGCGTTTTTTTGGCCTGTGCTAAAGCAACATCCGTTTCAAAATCGAATCTTTAGTCTGGTGTTTTCAATGAAGACATTAGCATTGATACCAAAGTATGAATTACCAGTGCCACCATGAATCATCTGCCAGTAACTGAGATATTGGCCCTACCCCAAACCATAATAGCAGTCCACGTCACTGCTCCAGTATAATCCGACGGGCATCCTGAAACCAGTCAGTGCATTAGTCATCCCAGCAACACATTTATAGTAGTGTACAAACTACTCCGCATACAAAAATAAAACTACACTTTAGTCTTGTAGTTTATGGGGCTCTCAGACCAATGTGTTTCCCAGCAATGTTTGCTTAAAGCAGACAAACATCCTTTGTAGGACCGGTTTTAACTTTTAAAAAGTATCATCAGCGGTGGTCAGGCCAGTTCATACACAAGTGCTACTGGGTGCCAGATTCTAGATTTGAAGCTTTCGTGACTGCAAGGATCCATACTCTTTGGTTCTATTCGGTAAAGTCACGTAGGTAAAAATAAAACAACAAAAATCACGAAGTTTCGGCCACAACACAAGCGGCCTGTGTTGTGGCCGAAACGTAGTGATTTTTGTTATTTCATTTTTACCTACGTGACTTTACCGAATAGAAGCAAAGAGTATTGGTGCCAGATGTCAAGAGGCAAGCCCATAGCGATTGTGTGCAGCAGGCCTTCAGTGTATATTATATATGGAGTATATATTTAAAAAAATACATTTGTATTATTGTAAAACAGAGATGCGTACTGTGTCGTTATATATACGTTATATACGCATTGTAAGCTTGACAGCCCCACTGTCAATCCACTGCTGGATATGTGACCGATCATACTTTTCACCACGCTGATCAGGTGAAGGAGGGTCGGAGGTTCATAAATCGCTCGCCATTGATGTTGTTAGCCGTGGCAAAGTATCCAACTCGGGTTACCTGCCGGGTTCACAATGCAGTGTCGTAGTGTTTGGTTCATTCTTAAGAGCAGAACTTTAGGAGCATCATTTGCAAGAGTGATCCTTGGGGGTCGCTCAGATTACAACAGCAACACAAATAAAAAAAACACAAATAAGACATCTGCACAAAAGAAAACTGCGTCGTGATTTAACCACTGCGCCTTCACTCCAGGGCAACATCCCTAAACTACTGCACTCTAACTCCTATACACGACTGTATTCATCAATCACAGACATGTAATCGCATACTGCATAACGAGGATGGCTGCGGAGTGTTGTGCTGTTTATGGATCGTTTGCAAGCACGTTATGAGTGTGTGTGTGTACACAAGTTGCTTAACTACACACAACACACGCCATGTGTTCTGTGTGGTAATATTTACATGCATGTGTTGTGCGTGCACATCTGTACACGCACCAGCTGTGGACACACAAACACACACACACTAGAGCGTGGTTATGTACACACCTGCTACCCACCATGTGCATGGGTACAGTGCATGTAGCACCGTGCGTGCCGGTGGTGGTGCTCGCTCACAGCACTTGCCCCCAAAAGTCTGTTAAGGCTACACGTGGGGATCTTTGTCTGTGTGTGTGTAGTAGTAGTGATACACGTGTGTGTAGTAGTAGTGATACACGTGTGGTGTGTGTGTAGTAGTAGTGATACACATGTGTGTAGTAGTAGTGATACACGTGTGGTGTGTGTGTACATGTGTGTAGTAGTAGTGATACACGTGTGTGTGTAGTAGTAGTAGTGATACACGTGTGCTGTGTGTGTGTAGTAGTGATACACGTTTGGTGTGTGTGTGGTAGTAGTAGTAGTGATACACGTGTGGTGTGTGTGTGGTAGTAGTAGTGATACACGTGTGGTGTGTGTAGTAGTAGTGATACACGTGTGGTGTGTGTGTGTAGTAGTAGTGATACACGTGTGTGTGTGTAGTAGTGATACACGTGTGCTGTGTGTGTGTAGTAGTAGTGATACACGTGTGGTGTGTGTAGTAGTAGTGATACACGTGTGGTGTGTGTGTGTGTAGTGATACATGTGTGGTGTGTGTGTGTAGTAGTAGTGATACACGTGGTGTGTGTGGTAGTAGCAGTGATACACGTGTGGTGTGTGTACATGTGTGTAGTAGTAGTGATACACGTGTGTGTGTAGTAGTAGTGATACCCGTGTGGTGTGTGTAGTAGTGATACACGTGTGGTGTGTGTGTGTAGTAGTAGTGATACACGTGTGGTGTGTGTAGTAGTGATACACGTGTGGTGTGTGTGTGTAGTAGTAGTGATACACGTGTGGTGTGTGTGTAGTAGTAGTGATACACGTGTGGTGTGTGTAGTAGTCGTGATACACGTGTGGTGTGTGTGTAGTAGTAGTGATACACGTGTGGTGTGTGCTGTGTGTGTGTAGTAGTAGTGATACACGTGTGGTGTGTGTGTGTAGTAGTAGTGATACACGTGGTGTGTGTGGTAGTAGTAGTGATACACGTGGTGTGTGTGTGGTAGTAGTAATGATACGCGTGTGGTGTGTGTGTACATGTGTGTAGTAGTAGTAGTAGTGATACACGTGGTGTGTGTGTGTAGTAGTAGTGATACACGTGTGGTGTGTGTGCAGTAGTAGTAGTGATACACGTGTGGTGTGTGTGTACATGTGTGCAGTAGTAGTGATACACGTGTGTGTGTAGTAGTAGTAATACACGTGGTGTGTGTAGTAGTAGTGATACACGTGTGGTGTGTGCTGTGTGTGTGTAGTAGTAGTGATACACGTGTGGTCTGTGTGTGTAGTAGTAGTGATACACGTGGTGTGGTGTGGTAGTAGTAGTGATACACGTGTGGTGTGTGTACATGTGTGTAGTAGTAGTAGTGATACACGTGGTGTGTGTGTGTAGTAGTAGTAGTGATACACGTGTGGTGTGTGTGGTAGTAGTGATACACGTGTGGTGTGTGTGTAGTAGTAGTGATACACGTGTGGTGTGTGCTGTGTGTGTGTAGTAGTAGTGATACACGTGTGGTGTGTGTGTGTAGTAGTAGTGATACACGTGGTGTGTGTGTGGTAGTAGTAGTGATACACGTGGTGTGGTGTGGTAGTAGTAGTGATATACGTGTGGTGTGTGTACATGTGTGTAGTAGTAGTAGTGATACACGTGGTGTGTGTGTGTGTAGTAGTAGTGATACACGTGTGTAGTAGTAGTGATACACGTGTGGTGTGTGTGTGTAGTAGTAGTGATACACGTGGTGTGTGTGTACATGTGTGTAGTAGTAGTGATACACGTGTGTGTAGTAGTAGTGATACACGTGTGTGTAGTAGTAGTGATACACGTGTGTGTGTAGTAATAATACACGTGTGTGTGGTGTGTGTGTGTGGTGTGTGTGTGGTGTGTGGTGTGGTGTGTGGTGTGGTGTGTGTGTGTGGTGTGTGTGTGTGGTGTGTGTAGTGGTAGTGATACACGTGTGTGTGTGTGGTGTGGTGTGTGGTGTGGTGTGGTGTGTGGTGTGGTGTGTGTGTGTGGTGTGTGTAGTGGTAGTGATACACGTGTGTGTAGTAGTAGTGATACACGTGTGTGTGTGTGGTGTGTGTGTGTGGTGTGTGTGTGTGGTGTGTGTGTGTGGTGTGTGTGTGTGGTGTGTGTGTGTGGTGTGTGTGTGTGGTGTGTGTGTGTGGTGTGTGTGTGTGGTGTGTGTGTGTGGTGTGTGGTGTGTGGTGTGTGTGTGTGGTGTGGTGTGTGTGTGGTGTGTGTAGTGGTAGTGATACACGTGTGTGTGTGTAGAGAGAGTGGAGCAGTCATCACCTCGCCTTTGCCGCTCTCGTCCCGCGTCTCTGGCGGGGCGCCGCCGTCCTCGTTAATCCGCGAAACGAAACAGAAATCAAACCCAACACTCGCGCCCACTGTCTGACGCCTCCCTCGTCAAACCCCACCGTCTACACACCTCCCTCCCTCCCTCTTCGTCACCTCGACCTCGTCAACGCAGCAGCAGCAGCAGCCCCAGCAGAAACAACCCTCGAAGTTTAAACAAAAACTCCGAACGACTTCGCCGCAGCCGCCACCTCCGCCACCATCGCCGCCGACTTCACTTCTTTGCGGCTCGCTCCACAACAAACAAACAACAACAACCACCAACAACAACAACAACCAGCACCACCACAGCTGTAAACTTTGTTGTTGTTGTTGTCGTCGTCACTATACTACTACTGTACGTGGCGAGTTAAGAAACGTGGCGACAGTGGAGAGAGAGAGAGGCGGGCGGGCAACGCCGCCACTGTAACGGCTTAGCGCAGTAGGAGGAGGGAGGCCGCCCCTCGTCACTCCCCCCCTCATCACCCCCCCCTCATCACCCCCCCCCTCATCACCCCCCCCCTCATCACCCCCCCCCTCTCATCACCCCCCTCGTCACCTCCCTCATCCTCCCCTCATCATCCCCCCCCCTCATCACGCCCTCATCCTCCCCTCATCACCCCCTCATCATCCCCCTCATCACCACCCACCTCGTCACCACCCTCATCCTCCCCTCGTCACCCCCCCTCCTCGTTACCCCTACCCCCTCGTCACCCCCCCTCGTCACCCCCCCTCGTCCTCCCCCTCATCACCCCCCTCATCACCACCCTCAATATCTCCCTCATCACCCCCTCATCCTCCCCTCATCACCCCCCTCATCACCCCTCATCCTCCCCTCATCACCCCCCTCATCCTCCCCTCATCACCCCCCTCATGACCACCCTCGTCACCCCCCTCGTCACCCCCCTCATCACCCCCCTCATCACCACCCTCACCACCCTCATCCTCCCCTCTTCACCACCCTCATCACCACCCCCCCCCCCCGGTCCCATCCCTCCTCATCGCTCCGCTCTTCTCGTCTCACCCCCCCCCCCCGCACCTCCTCTATCGGTCTCACCCCCCCCCCCCCGCACCTCCTCTACCGGTCTCACCCCCCCCCAGCACCTCCTCTACCGGTCTCACCCCCCCCAGCACCTCCTCAACCGGTGTCACCCCCCCCCCCCAGCACCTCCTCTACCGGTGTCACCCCCCCCCAGCACCTCCTCTACCGGTCTCACCCCCCCAGCACCTCCTCTACCGGTCTCACCCCCCCCCCCAAGCACCTCCTCTACCGGTCTCACCCCCCCCCCCCCCCAGCACCTCCTCTACCGGTCTCACCCCCCCCCCAGCACCTCCTCTACCGGTCTCACCCCCCCCCCAGCACCTCCTCAACCGGTGTCACCCCCCCCCCCCCAGCACCTCCTCTACCGGTCTCACCCCCCCAGCACCTCCTCTACCGGTCTCACCGCCCCCCCCAGCACCTCCTCTACCGGTCTCACCCCCCCCCCCCCAGCACCTCCTCTACCGGTCTCACCCCCCCCCCCCAGCACCTCCTCTACCGGTCTCACCCCCCCCCAGCACCTCCTCTACCGGTCTCACCGCCCCCCCCAGCACCTCCTCTACCGGTCTCATCGCCCCCCCCAGCACCTCCTCTACCGGTCTCACCCCCCCCCCAGCACCTCCTCTACCGGTCTCACCCCCCCCCCCAGCACCTCCTCAACCGGTGTCACCC